TCAAACGCCACAAAAACCTTTCAAACGCCACAAAACACACAAGCCTCACCGAATGTCTCCTTGCTACCGCGATCTCGCCCACAGGAAGCCGCGACCACGTGGCAGCAGGGAAAATGGCCGCGGATCTGGTTCGTAACTCGAGGCAGAGTTCACAAGTAGAGGTAAATTTTTGGGGCCGGAGCTGGTCGTATCTTGAAAAATTCGTAAGGAGGGGCGTTCGTAACTAGAGATACCACTGTAATTGTTGGTAATGGCAAGTTGCTGCTGAAGCATCCTAATCTGAACAGAAATTTTGTAAATTAGCTTAGAGTCCAACTGCCATCAGAATGGGACAGGAACAGCTTAATGGTGTGATGTGGATACGCCTTGAGAGGATGTTCTAGAGAGGCCTCACTTCATATAGGAATGGCATCTGTCTCCTTAGTAGTTTCCACATTTGTGGGAAGAGATATAAAAAATGGACACCAAGAGGTAGGATGCATACTTCCTCTTCAACCCTATCTGTAATTGTGCGAACACTTATTGTGATACCACAAGATTTTTTTTCCCCTTGGAGAAGAAGAAAAAAAAGGAAGTGGGGAGAAAACTGATAACCACCAGCTTCCTTTGCAGTCATTTGAATAGCAGATCCAACCTTTCTGAGTTGCACGTTGCTGGCTTACAGAGATTAGTAGACTTACCTAGGGAGAAGATGGCTATGTCATCTGTGTCTTGCAAATATCTCCATAATGCAATATCTTGCAGAGTAGACAAGTTTATGACATTCTTAAATTGAATTTTTGGTCCCATAACACAACATGTCCTGTCCTATTTTAGGGGGAAAAAAATCTCAAATTTCAATGATCTCCCAGAAATCTAGTCTGGGAAACTCAATTCATCTTGAGTATCTAAAGTTCATCACCATTAAGGTTTGGACTTCATGAAATGATAAATGCACAATCATATTCCTCTGTTATATTAAAATAAAGAAATAAATGATTCTATAGGATCTCAATCTAACCTAGATCCAAGAGATATAGAGAAGTAGTCAAGTGTTTTGTACATAATTATTTAACCCTCAATTATTTATTTTTGAGTTTGTGTGTGAAGGAAATTCCTGTGAATACAAATAAGTGGTTTGGAGTATGCTTCCCAGTGGATATATGCATAAAATATTCATTCTTCCCCTTCTTATCTGGATCAAAGCCTCCCACTGCTGCAATTGTAGTAGCAATGAATGAAAAAACATAGTTATGAATATAAATGTTCTAATTTGACCCTAAGAGTTAGCAGACTGTTGACTGGTTTCTTCTTAGATGTGCTAAAATATTTTCAGCTTATTTTTTTATCTTCCAAACTTTTCCCTACCCCCCCCAAAAAAAAAAAAAAAAAGCCACCACCATCCTCAGGACTAGTTTTAGAGGTCCTCTACTCAACTTACCATGCTTCTTTGTTACATCAAATGATTAGAAGCTATTTTCACTATTAATTTAGCTTCTAGTCTTCTTCAAGATGGAAATTACCCCATTTCTATCTGTGGAGTTTTTCCTACCAAGAACTTATCTCTAGGAGTCTTCCTTCTTATCCCTGTTACAACATTTCTTGGTTGTTGTTGTTGTTTTTTGATTAGGTTTTTTTTTTAAATAACATTTGCAGTTCTGGAAGCAGGTTAGCCAAAAAGTTACTTTTTTCTATCCTGACCTTATAGGGAACAATTGCCAAACTCTATGGTGACTTAGCTGAACTCTGCTTGGGAATTTTCAAGTAACTAATTTTTGTTTTCACTGTGAATTCCATCACCAAGGGGGAGCTTCAGGAAAATTGAGGCTTCAGCCTATACTTTTGGAAGAAATTTCCCTACTGATGACACTATAGCACTTTTTTTCCCAAGCTAATTGTATCTTTTTCATGCTCTGAGCCAAATAAGCCATATCTCATTAGAAAGGGAGAGAGAAGATATAACATGAACTTAAAAGCTTCTTTTGAACATTAAAGAACAAGAATCTCTAATCAGCATGGTATATATTTTGTATAATTACATGTTGGCAATCCTTCTCTTGCTCATTAAGCAGAAAAATATAAATGGTGTGTTTCTACAAGGCAAGAAAACTCTGAGTCTATTATTGTTTATATCTACAAAGTATGCCTAGGATCTGTAGAATCATCTGGTTTCATATATATAACAACTAAAATATTATCATTAAAGCCTATCTGAAAGCAGGGAACTCAATTTTCAGCCAATGTAAACTGACCTAGCTGTTTTAAAGTTGTTACATTTCTTGTTGTTTTTGCATCTGGCCAAATCTATCTGCCAGTTTAGAATCTAGTCCTAAAACAGAAAGAAAATTAGGGTTTGTGCCTTTTGGCACTATGAAGATGAACTATACACCCAAAATTTGTCAAGATAAATCTTAAAAGATAAAAATAAGTACATACAGATGACCAAACTACTTTCAGCTGAGCTGTCTCATTGATAGTAGGTTAGTTTTTGGCAGCATCCTGCCAAATGGTAAAAAATATATGGTCACATGTTCAGACCAGATGAATCATGAAACAAATGATCAAGAAGTATTTCTCAGCCTGTTGTTTACTGAATACACTTGGACTGTAAATCTCATAATTTTTAGCCCATGTGCCCAATAGAACTTTTGCAAATTATAGTCACCACACATCTCATTGGTATCAGATTAAAAAGGTTGTGATGGATCAGTGATAAGCTTTATATGTTCTATAGTAATACATATTTGGTGACTCTTAATATTTAACTAGAGCTATATTGTTTCCTCTTCTAAAGATGGAATCTCTTCACTGATTCCAGGAATGGGATCCCTGTTGGGTATATTTAGAATATATAACCATAAAAATAAAAATATTTCAAAACCCTTAGATCAGCCCATTTCATTAAAGTGTTGTGACTGACCCAAAGAATTTTATGGTGGACTTGTGATTTCAAAATGTTCTTCATAAGAAAGCTAGCACCTGCATTTTGCATGATCTAGACTCTTAAGACCTTTCTATTTTTCTAAGCTTTTAGTAGTCTTATTGTAGTCCCAGTAGCATGGACAGCAGTTTTCATTTCAGTGTTGCCGGCTATGTGTATTCTGTATTAAATATTTTCTCTTTTAATATTGTTTATGTAGTGAAGACCAGTTAGGTTGGATTATATTTTTCAGATTTATCATTATTCCTTTTTTTAATATTATGTCTGAATCAATTTTATATGACACTTAAAACATTTAGATTTCTAAGAAACACTAATAAATAAATAATCAAATAACAGCATCCCCATTTATTTAGAAAATGTACAGTTATACTGTATTTAATTAGAGGATTTTTCCTAATTTGAAACAACAATAACGTTTCACTGAAAGATGACTGATAGATAGATATAGATATGTAGAATAGCATATTAGCTTGAACTGGGGAGATTCTATAAACTAAACTATTATTATTATTATTATTATTATTATTATTATTATTATTATATCAAAACCAATTGTAGAATACTCTTTCAACTGTCCTATTATTGCCCATTCTCTCTAGGATAGGAATCAGTTCATTTTTCACAGCAGCTATAATACTTAGAACTAATCTAATTAAAATATTTAACCAATGTCATAAACATATATCAATTCCACTTCAATATATTTATTCGCAACAGTTCTAAATACTTATGAACAAAACCTCTTGAATGATACATTATTGCTAGAATTCTAATCAAATCAAGGGTATTAGTTGATGGCAGACTAATGACTTTATTGAATGAAGAATTCATATAAGGCAACTAAAACCTTTCCATCATTTTTTCATTAGAACTGGATGTGCTCAAGTTATTTGAAGATCTCTGCTTTTCAAGGTTGGCATCTCACCTCCTTTGTCCCTGGAAAGAGGTACAGTTGGATCCAGAAACTTGTGCTTGTAGCTCCCCAAATTACACAAATAACATGGCCAGCAGATAATATGGTATTTTAGGAGTTGCAATCCCAACACTCCCAAAACTAGCTTTTCCCCAAACATTTGGCCAGGATGGTGTTGAGGCAGGGGGTCAATAGTATGGGTGGTCTGGCGCTTGCTGGGAAGGGGTTGTTCTCTTTTTATCTTGTTTTTATTGGTTGTTGTGAGATACCTAGAATCACTATGTGAGATAGATGGCTATAAAAGTTATTTAAACAAACACATTTAGAATGTGACAGGGTGGGAAAGACTTCCTTCAGTTAATCAAGAATTGATACATCAAATTCTGTTTAAAACAATATTCTGGTTGCCATCCTTTATTTTTCTCTCTCTTGAAGAGATCCTTGCATACCAGGCTTAATATTGCTTCCTTTTTTAGGCTAAAATGAATGGATAACATATTCTGACAGATCTGACCAGTACATGCACTTTGTTCAATTTCCAGCCTCTCCAATAAGAGATGACGTTTTTAAATGAGATTTTAACAAAATTATTACAGTATGTTATTCAGAGTAAATAGACCCTGTTTGCCCAGAATTCTGAAAGAAGTAGTATCAACCACATTTGGGTGGAAAATCAGGTCTAGCTAAATAAGAGTCTGCTTCAATAAAAGTCAGCTTTGTATGAGTGTCCTCATATGAAACTGAGATCATCATCATCATCTCATTGGTTAAAAGATTTATCATAGATCACTGCAGTGTAGTCTATGCCAAGTTGCCACTGAAGACTGTTCAAAGGATTCCATTGGCCCAAAATGATCATATAACTTCAAAATACTGATACCATATTTGGTTCTAGGAATAATAGAAAGTGCTCATTCAAGTGTTTAAAGCCCTAAATGTCTTAAGACCCACTTATTCTTATATATTTGCAATAGTAAGCCATAAGGAGGATTTGGAAGGAGAACAGCTGCCTCTGGGTTATTCTACTACTGCTATGATACCTACTGCAATATCACTGTAAAAAGCTAGTCTCCATCACAGTGGCTGATTTTTTAAAAAAAAGCTACATGGAAACAGTTATAGAAAACACCTCATTTATTCAATGTAGAAATAAATTCTCCTGTCTTCCTCTTTCCTCCACTTCAACCATCCTGCTTGCTTCAAGAATGGTTGTGCCTCTCAAATTTTCAAGGTTCATAACATTCAGATATTCTCAGATCATGGCCCATTCAAATTTTCAGAGCTGAAAAGTAAGTCTTTCAAATTAATTCTTGACAGCAAGGCTTCCTCTCCCTGTGATGTTGGGATTTGGGATAGAAAGGTTGGCAAAGGATCTGTCTTCCCACTAGCAACTTAGTCACTGGGTAATGCAAGTGAGATCTAGTGACAGATTTAGGTTTAGGGTAAGAAATGTGGCAAGGAAAGTTTTCCCCCATCTGTCTTCTGGCAAAAGGTTTACCTGATTCATTTCTTTCTGTGGTATGATAGAAAATGGTATAGGAGCCTTGGCCAAAGGCACCCACTAGCAATTTTATTTGTTGGTTCTACAAATGAGTCCTAACTGAAATAATCTGTTACCTATCATACTATCTAACCCATCTGTTTATCAGACTATCAAAGCTAGTGGAAAATAATGCCTGCTGTAGATATATCTCACTGTGATCTTAATGTTTGCAAGAGGTTGGCTTTCTATAAAAATTAGTTAAAGCTTCGTATTTACAAGTAAAGAAAATGAAGCAAGAGCTGAAAATGCAACTGAGCTGGATTTTCTTCCAAGTAAACATGTATATGATAGATGAAGAAAAGCTTTTCAAGAGAGTGGTTTTGTTGCAATACAGGCATTTTGACATGTGGACTTTATGCCAGGTTGGAACCATATCCAGACCTATGTGGTTTCGATTCACTCTGTTCTCTCACCTCTTTACTCAAGGCAACTGCTCTTCCCACAGAGTTTTAGAACACTGTTTTGAGGGAATCTCCCCATCTCTCTCACTTCAGCCACCGTAGCAGTATGTGGGAAAATGCCTACTGTACTGCATAAATGTACTTCTTGTCACTGCTCATAGGAGCTGTTAAATGCCGTGGAGGAAAGCTAGTTGGGTAGCTTTACAACTACTACTCATAGCAACAGTTCAGGGTTGTTACTGTTTTGCAGGCTTCTAGATAAATGCACAAAACATTATCTAAAATGTAGGTATGGGGTATACCAGCAATTTATTTATTTCCATTTTATGTAACAGGAGTGAGGGGACTCGGGTTACTCTGGAATGTAAGCTGGCTCAGAGGGTAACGTGCTAACTAAATTACTTTCTTTGCACTCACCAATTTGTCAATTGGAAAGGGCACTAACTGGCTGATAGTTTTTCCCCGTAACTACTCTGTGTTTCAAGAATGGTAGAAACAGAGATGATTCCAGTTGATTTGAACTGCTTTGGTGAGATGGGGGGGGGGGGGGGG